AAATGCGTAGAACTCCCTTGGGATTTGAAGGAGAAGAAGAGACACACTTACGAAAGATGTTGGATGCCAAGGTTATACAGCCTTCAACCTCTGAATGGTCATCTGCTCATGTGTTAGTTCGGAAGAAGGACGGGTCGGTCAGATGGTGCATTGATTATCGCCAGTTAAACCAAAAGACCGTCAAGGACTCTTACCCCCTTCCTAACATAGAAGATTGTTTCTCAACACTATCCAGCTCAATCTACTTCAGCACATTAGATATGAAGTCCGGGTACTATCAAGTAGATTGATTGATTGTATGTTGTTTAACGTCCCATTCGAAAATTTTTCACTCATATAGAAACGTCACCATATACCTGTGAAGGGCTTCAAATTTTGACCTTTTCTCGGCACTCAGGGCCATAGAGCAATGAGGGATCTTTATCGTGCCAACGCCTGCCGTGACACGGGGCCTCGGTTTTTAAGGTCTCATCCGAAGGGCCCGCAACTTTCACTTCAAAGTGCCGAGAGCATGGCGAAGGAACAGTTGCTACCCATTTTTTATGGACTTAGGTCAGTCGCGGCCGAGATTCGAACTCACGACCTCCCGATCACGGAGCGAGCGCTCTACCGACTGAGCTACCGTGAACGGTCTATCAAGTAGAAATTGACTCAGCAGACCGGTAAAAGACAGCATTTGTCACTAGATTTGGGTTGTTTGAGCATGTTCGCATGGGGTTCGGACTGTGTAATGCCCCCGCCACATTCCAAAGAGTTATACAGTTAGTGTTGCGTGGCCTTACATGGAAAGATGTCATTCCTTACCTAGACGATGTTAATGTTCTTGGCAAGTCCTTTGAAGAACAGCTGAACAATCTGGATGTAGTTCTAGGCAGATTTAGTAGGTATAACTTGAAGCTCAAGCCTAGAAAGTGCTTCTTATTCCAGACAGAATGCAAGTTCTTGGTGAAGCGAATTGCTCGAGAGGGTGTAAGCATTGCCCCAGCCAAATTAGGTGCGGTTCAGTCGTGGCCTGTTCCTACAGATAAGAAGGAGGTTGAATCATTCCTCGGCTACGCTAATTATCATCGAGAACATGTACAAGGATATGCAGGGATTTCAAAGTGTCTGTATGAGCTAACAGGTTCAAAAGCAAAGCAATTTCACTAGAATACAGGACATCAAGAGGCATTTGAACGCTTGAAAGCAGCACTAATCCTCAGCACCCTGTCTTACTTACCCAACTCCTACTGATGACTTTATTTTAGACACTGATGCGTCCGACTCAACAATAGGAGCTGAGCTAATACAGTTGCAAGATGGAAAGGAACGGACCATAGCCTATGCTAGCCATGTCCTGTTACCAGCACAACGCAAGTATTGCACAACACGCAAGGACTTACTGGCTGTTGTGAAGTTCTGTCGTCATTTTCGTCATTATCTTTTGGGACGACGCTTCACGATACGGACTGACTATAACAGTTTAGTATGGTTGTTTAGATTTCAACACATCGAGGGACAAATAGCTCGCTGGATAGAGGAACTTTCCCAGTTTGATATGCAAATTGTTCATCGTACTGGTAACAAGCATTCTAATGTAGATGGCTTGTCACGTATTCCAGATAGATTGGAGGCTTGTGAATGTTATAATGCAGGCGCCAACTTGGAATCTCTTCCTTGTGGAGGTTGCAGTTACTGCTCAAGAGCCTGTCAACAGTGGGAGAGATTTTCAGAAGATGTAGACAATGTAGTTTCGCTAGCTGTCAAAGTCATTAACCCTGAGCCAGGACAAACTGCAGAAGTGTTAACAGTAGAGTACACTATTGATATGCAGACAGATGACCTCGTTGGTGAGGTAATTTGGGCAGAAACAAGAACAAGGGAAGAAGTGTCAAAACTACAACATGAAGATGCAGACTTATCAGTGTTGTTCCAGTGGCTAGAGCAACCTCCTACACCACATGACCTACTCCTGAGTAGCCCAGCCTCGAGGTCATATTGGATGTGCAAGAGTCAGTTGTTTGTAAAAGACGGTATACTCTTTTATACCTGGCGGGATGATTCCAACCGAAGACTTTGCTTACTGGTACCAAGGACCATGCAAGAAGAAGTCCTCTACTGCTGTCATGATATGAAGTCAGAAGCGCATTTGGGGCAAGATTAAACATTGCAGCGAGTCAAGCAATAATACATGTGGTATCGAATGTCCCAAGACTGTCGAGAATATGTCCAGTCATGTTCTGTATGCAACAAAAATAAGAAGTCATCAGTCAAGCCAAAAGCTCCTCTTCAGCGCCACCATGCAGAGTACCCGATGGAGTGCGTACATTTAGATATTCTAGGCCCATTTACACCTAGTGAACGAGAAAATGTGTATGTCCTTGTTATGATAGACCAGTTTACGAAGTGGATTGAGTGTGTAGCAATTCCAAATCAAACTGCTCAGCTAATAGGCAAAGAGATCCTTCTCCACTTCATTGTGACATTGGGTGTCCACTATCCGTCCACTCAGATCAAGGCCGAAATTTTGCAGGGACCTCACACTAGTGGTGCACTGCCGAAACCTACATTCTGGGTATGCAACTTAAGCATTTCTTTCTATTTTAGAGGAGTTGGGCCGGACAGACTTGAGAATCCACAGGCACTGTTTCATCGGGAGTACAGAAGAAGCCGTTGAATGGATAGACCGATTTCCAAATGCGATCTTTTGGCTTCACTTCTAGCCTCCTTGGGTTGTTTGAAACAGCAGATGCTCTTCGTGTCATGCATATGAGCAGGATTTTACTTGAGACAACAGTGTTTGACGTTCTGGCAAAAATCCTCCATAACCTGAAGTGCCTTTATCGTATTTAATTCATATTGCTTCATGTTTATTGTAAGTCACATTTCTTGCAATGTGGTGACTTGCTGCATTATTTGTTTTTATTTCAGGTCAAGGATAGGATAAATTCTTTGGAACAGGGGGAAAGGTAGTACAACTCGTTATATGTATCCTGTGCTGAGCCCGTGTATGTATTCCCTTGTTAAACCTCTTCTGTGTATGTGTGCGTATGACGTCACGCCTTTTTTGTGTATTAGTAGTAGAAGACGCCATTCTCTGTAAGAACCTACGGGTAACCACTGTGAACTATTTCGACCTGCTGTGCGCGGTCTGGGGCTGTTGTGTGCGCTCTGTGTATATTTGTGTATTTGTAAACTGTCTTGTTTTGTGTAATAAATGTCATTACAACAATATAACCAGTGCCATTAGTGACACATCCTATATTATCAAGCAGAGAAAATGATGAATATCGTTAACTTGTTTTTGACCTTATACTTACATTTGCAAAATGCTTTAATTCTCTTACACAAACAATTGGAAGTGGCAAAGAAACGGTTGCTACCTATATTTTTCCGACCTAGGTCTGTCGCGGCCGGGGCTTGAACCGACCTACCAAGCTTCATAAGAAAATTAAAACAAAGTAAAACATCTACATGTAAGACAAGAATTCTTAAGCTACAATTACTACCTGAAATAGGAAACTTGAACCACTTAGATCATCTTTTAATTATATATCCATATTTATATGTTCTGTGCTTAATCCGTTAACACTTTTGAGCTCACCTGAGCGCCGTCCGTCCGCTTCTCGAGAACCACTGAGCCAATTTTAATCAAAGTTGGTACAAATTATCCTTGGATGAAGGGGAATTTGAATTGTTAAAATAAAGGACCAAGCCTATTACAAAGAGAGATAATCAAGAAATGACAAAAATAGGGTGGTGTCATTAAAAATCTTCTCAAGAACCACTGGGCCAGAAAAGCTGAAACTTATGTGGAAGCTTCCTGAGATAGCATAGATTTTAATTGTTTAAATCATAGTCCCCGGGGCTAGGATGGGGCCACAATAGGGTATCAAAGTTTTACATTGAAATACATAGGAAAAATATTTTAAAATCTTCTTTTTAAAAAACAAGGGGAGATAATAAAGAAATGACAAAAATAGGGTGGGGTCAAGAAAACATTTTCTCAAGAACCAATGTGCCAAAAAAGGTAAAACTTATATGGAAGCTTTCTGAGGTAGTGTAGTTTCTAAATTGTTCAAATCATGACCCCCGGCGGTAGGGTGGGGCCACAATAAATATTACAAGGGGGGAAATCTGGTGAAGAACAGCAAGGCCAAAGTTACTCAGGTGAGCGCTGTGGCCCATTAGCCTCTTGTTCGAATATACACCTACCTCCAATTATTAATGATGTACATAATGGCAGAGTTTGAAAACTTTCATAGTGGTGAACGAAAGACGAAAGTGAAATCTGAAGTCGGATATTAAAATGGTTTGTCTTTTATAAATTAAACTTAATGATTGAAACAAAAAACATTAATACATACTCTGTAAATGTAATTCGCTGGTCCTTTGTTTACGACAATTTATTTTTATAGTTTTTGTAGAAAAAATATATTTAGAATATTGTGAGTCACGAGAACCATTGTTTTTGATGAATTAATCTGATGAAAGAAATACCAGCCCCCACCCCAACCCCCTTAAAAATTCTGAAAACTTGTTATTGGCATTTATCTCCTTGAAAAAAATGTAAATGAAAGATATCAAATTGAAAATGCATTTGTTTGAAGTTTGCATCTGAAAATGTTATTAAATCAACTGTTAAACATTTCCGTCTTTTCTGGTTTTTGATCAATCATCCAGATGAATGATTGATGCAAAATTTGCTTCATTTATAAATGTTTCATATAAGCAACTTCCTATCAAATTGAACAGCCTGACTTTTGTGACACATTAACTTGGAAAGACCAATAAATATGTGAAGTTAAGACAGTCTTTTTTTTAATAATATAATTGCAGATCGGTGCATAAAAGCAGTTTACTTTTCTATTTAAAAAAAAGTCATGGTACTCATTTACAAAAAGATGTCCATAAAAGTTTGGATGGTTTGAGTCAACATTTATTTCACTTTATCTCCCACCTTATTGCAGCTACAAGACCACGATATTCTCATTAATGTAATTCTTAAATTCAACACTCACATCTTCCCGATCTTCGTAAGTGTAGTTGTAGATCTTCAATGACTCATTTTTCAGATGGACTTCAAATTCCTTAAATTTCTTACTCCTTGATTTATAGAGACTGACGACAAGCAATGATTCGTAAGCCTTCTTAACAATCTGAAATCATTTGAAATACATACATTCATACAGACAGATAGACAGACAGACGGATACACACGCACTTGAGCGCACACACTATATTACATAGATACACACATGCATGCATGTTTCCATTTTTTTTCCGTTTTCACATTCTTTTTGATATTCACAAAAAATAGTTTTATATACATTCAATTTTTTTAATCAGATCCATGTTCAATGTTCACAAAATGATATTTTGGAATAGTATGGCCCTTAATTTTGCGCTTTTTTCGATAATGAAAAAAAATATATATGTGGCATGTTTATGCATATTTTTTTTCTTACCCAAATTAATTATTTTAAGAATTCCAAAATCTTAAACTACATCTAGGACGGCATCAATCTTATTATTTAGAAACAATTTAAACTCTTAAGAGTTTAAACTTAAACTCTAACCAAAAGGCTTGGTCGTCAAGTAATTTTATCCCTTCGTCGACACATTGTTATGTACGTGTACATTCAATGTCATTTGCTTGTAACGGTTTGGGCCCTAGATGTCAGCCTGGGAAGCCCAGTAGCTAGAGCAACTGACAAGTGACACAGGTCCCGGGTTAGATTCCCGATCCAGCCATATATTTTCTCCTTTCCTATTACATAACTTGGTGCCGTGACCAAGATGTGACACGTGAAAGAACCTGCCAGGGAAGAGTCTGGGTTGGTGGTTTCGGGGAGCGAAGACCTTTAAGGATGGAGGAATGTGGCGGTCGGGCAGGTTCGATCGCCGGTGGCCAGATAGCTCAGATGGTAGAGTACCTGACTAGTGATTCGTTAGGCCCGGGTTCGAACTCTGGTCTGGTCCGTCGAATTTTCCTACTTTCCTCTTACATTTAAAATAAGAACTTGGGTTGTGTCTTCGAGGGCGAGGACAATTTAAGGAGGAAGGAATGTAAGGATTTAGGCCGTTGATATCGGCTTGGGTAAGTCAGTAGGTAGAATACCTTACCAGTGATGCAGGGGTCTTGATTCGATTCCAGGGTCAGGCATACATTTTCTCCTTTCCTGTTACATAATTTGTTGTCGTAGACCACCCCTGGACTTTCAGGTGAAAATCCTGCCAGGGGCCAAAAAGAACTTGGGCTGTGTTCTTCGAGGGGAAAGAAAACTTAAGGAGGGAGGAATGTTATACTTTGGGCCATGGCCCATGGATGAGCTGGATTGCTCAATTTGTAAAGTGCCCGACTAGTGATACGAGGGAACCGGGTTCGATTCCGGGTCCAGCCATACATTTTCTCCCTTCCCGTGTACATAATACTAATTATTCATAACATCCCTGTTCAAAACCTGATATTTCAACAAATCATATCAAAATGCATGTGTCAAGGAAAATAAAAATTTCTTTGAATTTTTTTAAAACATACCTTGATTTCACAATTGTACTTACATCTATGTAAAAATTATGGTCTATATCAAAATAAAATCTAAATTAAGATGGTAACAAAAATAAAAAAGTATAAAATTATTAAAGTAACCTCGTCGTTTTCGTCGCTTTTTTCCCAAGAAATATCCCCAGTAACAAACCCATGAAAGGCATAGAAAAAAAGGAAAACGTAATCCCCATTTGTCATTCCCATTGAATGTGCCATCATCATCAAATTTCTGAGAGCCTCACTGTCACAGACGATGATAAAAACTGTAAAGAAGAAAAGGAGGAGAAGAAATAAAAATGGTGTATCTCTTCCTTTCCTTGATCGATCGATCAAACACAAAGGCAAGTTTCAAATATACCTCTTGAAGTTCTGTTGGCTTCGAGGAGTATGTCTTTGTATTCTTGTCGTTCGTCTGAGGAAAAGTCAAGGAGGGTAGAGGTCAGTCCTGCGTCCAAAAGCTGCGTGTTAATATGATTAGCTATGATCCTATTCAAATAGGAAACAGCATGGGCAAGGTGTTTTCCTGCGTCAAAGATAGTTGTTACATCAGTCCAATTGAAACGCTCGAGTAAGTTTATGTACACGTTACCCAGATGACTATAACGGTAAGACAATCTAGTCAAGGTGTTGTAGATGTTTTTGTTGTCTAATGCTTCTGAAGCTGTACTAGTTCCAAATACGGGGATTTTCCAGCGAGAGGCCATTCTTCCGATGAACTCCACTGGTGCGCTGCAGGCTAGAAATATTTATCTTTTCAATTTTTTTATTATATACTGTATTTGCGAAAACAGAAATCTTTTTCGTCAATTGACTTTGCTTTTCTTTTTACTTATCAATATAAGTACAGATCCCTAAGAATTAATATTTATTCATTGTTGATTTGGTTCCAATTTCGTAATAATAATAGTTAATATGTTAGACGGTGCGACCGTTGATGAGGGCGGAGCAATCAAGAGAACGTTTCTACATTTTATTGTTTATAATGATAAATCAGATTGTAATCAATGTCAGAAAATCATAACAAAGACCCGGATCAGTCCTTTTAAAAAAGAATCCCTTCTCTAACCTCAAATGCTTTTCATTCAAATAATGAAATTTATGGGTGTTTGGTTTAATGAATGTGTAAGATATATCTTTTTTTTTGGATAAATTGGTTTCCCATTGATTATTTCCTTAGTTTTAATGGAAAAGTGTAGGTTAAATTTAACATTTCAGCATTTTTTTTTAACAAATCTGATTCAACTAATGTTTAGTGTTTTCTAAAACTTGATAACATAGAAGCAAGGTAAAAATCTTTTCTTTTTAATATCTGGAAACTCAATAAAAGTTAACTTTTCCCCCCAGATATTAAAATTGTTTATGTGAAAATTACAATTAAAAAAAAAAAAAAAAAAAAAAAAAAAAAAAAACCTCTACATCACAGTAATTGATATTTTGTGACATCCACACAATTCAGAACATAGATAACAGAGTCAGGCTTCAGACATGTTAAGGTCCCGAAGGGTCCGTGAGAGGGCTCCACCCTCTATACATATGTAATAAACACTTACGTTGCTATTTAATTTATATCTCAACAACTCAACATGCAAGTATTCATAATTAAGTGCTGAAATTAATAGTTTCTTCTTAAAGAAGATGCGAATTCCACTAACATTACACAAAACTTATATGTATGATAGGATAAAATAAAAATGAAACTGAGGAATCTGCGCCCACAGAAGGACAGTATAATTAGTATATAAATCTTTTCAGAATTCTTTTAAAATATCAAAAATTCAAAATCTCTAATATAATCAACTTATAAAATAGTTTACTTAAATGAAATACAGTCAATTTCAAGCAGTCTACAAGGATTGCAGTACACAAGCACTTGTATCAATTTTTGCTATAAATATTCATGATTCAGTCCAAAAAATACTAGAATTTCAAAAACATTATCTTGCATTGCAACTCTCTTCTAACAGCGGTAACAGTGGTATACCTAAATTAAAAGAAAATGGCGATTCTATTCAAAAAAGGATTAAAATCCCTGCAACTGAAACTTGTTCTGCAAATCTGCTAAGCATAGTGTATACAGTATCTCAAAGTTCAGTGCAAACAAACTCAAGAACAGAATGCTTATCTGATTGTTTTCAAGAATTACTTCAAGAAGGACTAAAAAAATGTTCTATCTCCGCAACATGCAGAAGAGTGCCAAATAGTTTTTTTCAATAATTTTCACTTAAGGAAGGTATTTTAAACTTTATTAGTACAGTAAAACTCAAAAGTTATTTACATCTCTTTCATGAGCAGGTGTTCCAAATTTCAATCCAAAATTTCATTCTCATCGGAGACATTTCAGGAAAATAGACTATTCAGTGTTTGTAGTGAATAGGAGGATATGAAGTGCTTATCTATTCATTTCCGCAATCAATAAATACAAGATACTCCTCGGATCTACGTATAGTAATTGTATTTCCTAGCTTTATATATCAAATATTTTTGCAAGATGCACATATGCTAGAAAAATATTTATATGATTTAAAATTACATGCTCATATTTTGAGTTTAGATCATTTTACCACTCACGTTTTAGATCCATTTAAATCATTTTTACCTATTGTCCAATAAGTGTATCGTACGTACTTGGTCCAATAAATGCATTTACTTTTCCTTCATGGTACATCGTAGCTGCAGCTGTCGCAAAAATCCCCGTGAGGTCTAGAACACATTCAGATCCGGAAATATGCCGAATCACTTCTACGTCAAATTTATCTCCAACAATTTCATTCAGCTTCTCAATCCCCAGGTCTATTGCTGGTCCAGCCCGATGAATTCCGAATGGTAAAGTTTCGTCCCCAATGAATAGTCCGATTATAATTTTGCTCTTTTGTGAGGTTACAAGTGGACTAAAATACAGGAGAATGTATATAGCTAGCATCATCTATGCATTGGCTCAACTCAGAGACAAATCTTAACTACATATGTAGAATCAACAAAGACAATCGTTTGTCTTTAAATAAATTTGTTCCACTTGTTGGCCATTTTATTCCTCGGGATGATACTGTAATGATCAATTTGATATCCATACCTGAATCGTTATCGAAGTTTTGTCCTCATTAGGAGATACACTTTAGAACTCTAAAATTAAAATTGAACGGTTCCGTGATATCATTAAGTAATGCGAATCAAAAACACTGTCGGATATTTTGATACGATGATATTAAGGTGACCTAATTAATAGTTCTTTCAAGAAGATCGTTACTTACATTGTTTCACCGGCATGTCGTAAACAATTAAGGACAGTTGTTATCACTTTATCAAGATGTATTAAAAAAAAATTTAATGATTTTCAATACAAACTTATAATGTATTCTAATAAGCTAAATCAGAGGATGAAAAGCTAGATATATATCAGTATACTGTTGTCAACAAAAATTGGTGAATCTTTAACGTTTTAAGGTTGACATTGACAACTTGACAACTAATTATTATAATAGTCCTATGACTCTAGAATTACATGTAGTAAATATTTGGAAGCATCCCTTGTTCTTTAACAAAAACTTTAATACTTTAACCTTTTTCTATTCCTTGTAATTTTTTATCTTACTTGGTATGGATTTCAGGATAAGAAGTACCCTTACAAAAAATACTATAGTAAACTATAGATAACTATAGTAAATCAACGTTTCAAAGTTATCACCATAGTAAATCAAAGTTTTCATAGTTATCACTTTAGTGTCATATTGATCACTATAGTAATCAAAGTTTTTAAAGTTATCACTATAGTAAATCAAAGTGTCAAAGTTATCACTATTGTAAATCATAGTTTTCAAAGAGTTCAGAATAGTTTTCATCATAGTTTTTTTTTTAAAGTAAATCAAAGTGTCAAAATGATCACTATGGTAAATGATTAAATCAAAGTTAAAGATTTAACACAACTGTATATAATGTTTTGTGATAGAAGTCTCAATTAATTTCACATTAATTGCACAACATAGATAATATCCAGTTTTACAGATTTTCGCATTTTACCAAAGTTATTTGTTGATGTCTTGTATTTCAAATAATTCCATGCACGATGATGCAGTACAGTTTATTATGCCCCCGGATCGAAAGATCCCGGGGGTATATTGTTTTTGTCCTGTCTGTCTGTTTGTTTGTTTATCTGTTTGTCTGTCTGTCTGTTGCCAACTTTAACCTTGCCCATAACTTTTGATTGGCTGGAGCTATGACTTTTATATTTCACATGTGTATTCCTTGTGACAAGATCTTTCTTTAAGTACCATCATATTTGACCTTTTGACCTTGACCTTGGAGTTTGACCCACTTTTGCAAAATTTTATGAGACTTTAACCTTGGCCATAACTTCTGAACAGTTGGTGCTTGGGGTTTCAAACTTCACATGTGTATTCTTTGTGACAAGGCCTTCCTTTGGATATCAACAACTTTGACCTTTTGACCTTGACCTTGGAGTTTGACCTACTTTTGTAAAACTTTAACCTTGGCCATAACTTTTGAACAGTTGGTGCTTGGGGTTTCAAACTTCACAGGTGTATTTCTTGTGACAAGACCTTCCTCTGGATATCAACCTCTTTGCTCCTTTGACCTTGACCTAGGAATTTGACCTACTTTTGAAAAACTTTAACCTTGGCCATAACTTTTGAATGGTTGATGCTAGGGCTTTCATACTTCACATATGTAATCCTTGTGACATCACCTTCCTTTGAATACCAACCACTTTCACCCTTTGACCTTGACATAGGAGTTTGACCTACTTTTGGAAAACTTTTACTTTGGCCATAATTTTTGAATGGTTGGTGCTAGGGCTTTCATTCTTCACATATGTGATTCTTGTGACAAGACTTTCCTTTGGATACCAATCACTTTGACCCTTTGACCTTGACATAGGAGTTTGACCTACTTTCGAAAAACTTTAACCTTGGCCATAACTTTTGAATGGTTGGTGCTAGGGCTTTCATACTATACATATGTAATCCTTGTGACAAGACCTTCCTCTTGATACCAACAACTTTGATCTTGATGTTTTACTTACTTTTAAAAAACTTTAACCTTTGCCATAACTTTTGAACTGTTGCAGCTAGGGCTTTCAAATTACACAGGTATATTTCTCGTGACAAGACCTTTCTTTGGGTACCAATATTTTTTATCTTTTTGCCTGGATTTTGACTTGCATTTTGAGAAACTTTAACTTTCACCATAAGCTACCATACGGGGGCATCAGTGTTTCACAAACACATCTTGTTTTAAATTTTATTTTTAGCGATTCTTTTTTAAACCTCATGTTTTTCAATGATTGCTTCTGACTAAACATTTTTTTAAAATGAATATTGTTTGTCTTTCATTTTACTTGGTCTTTTTTATTATTAAATCACATTATATTAATAGCATTAAGTACAAATGTACATAAAACAAGATGTATTGATTTATCATGTTATATACAAGAATATAAAGTATCTTAGATTGATAACCATAGTAAATCAAAGTTTTTTTAGTGATCACTAACTTAAAGTATTTCAAAGTTTTCATAGTTATCACTATAGTAAATCAAAGTTTTCATAGTTATCACTAAAGTGTCATAGTCATCACTATAGTAAATCAAAGTTTTCATAGTAATCACTAAAGTGTCATAGTCATCACTATAGTAAATCAAATTTTTCATAGTTATCACTAAAGTGTCATAGTCATCACTATAGTAAATCAAATTTTTCATAGTTATCACTAAAGTGTCATAGTCATCACTATAGTAAATCAAAGTTTTCATAGTAATCACTAAAGTGTCATAGTCATCACTATAGTAAATCAAATTTTTCATAGTTATCACTAAAGTGTCATAGTCATCACTATAGTAAATCAAATTTTTCATAGTTATCACTAAAGTGTCATAGTCATCACTATAGTAAATCAAATTTTTCATAGTTATCACTAAAGTGTCATAGTCATCACTATAGTAAATCAAAGTTTTCATAGTTATCACTAAAGTGTCATAGTCATCACTATAGTAAATCAAATTTTTCATAGTTATCACTAAAGTGTCATAGTCATCACTATAGTAAATCAAATTTTTCATAGTTATCACTAAAGTGTCATAGTCATCACTATAGTAAATCAAAGTTTTCATAGTAATCACTATAGTAGATCAAAGTGTCAAAGTTTTCAATATACATGTAGCTAACCATAGTTTTCATAAGTGTCAACGCTATCACTATTGTTAACTATAGTAAACATAGTTTACTATAGTATTTTTTGTAAGGGTACCCATGGTCACATTTCTCCATTTAGTTACTTTATAGACTTTTGTTAACTTAGATGTGAAAATTTAAGATCCCCAATAATCGTAAATTCTTAAACAAATAATTGTGTTTCAATATTTAAAAAATGAAGTATTTACGTCGATCTCAAAAGTGCTAACTTCGAAATATGAAAGACGTTAAAAAATTACGCGGACTTGCTGCACAGAAAAAATCAAGCAAAAAGTCACACATAATATATAAGAATATTTACTTACATGGTCATCCAAATATCATATCATTCAAAATGTTGCAAATTGATATTAATTTTGGGTGATTTAACAAGACATATCATGACTTCATGGTGTAGTAAAATCTTCCACGTCACGGGCATGATGAAAAAATGTGAGCTTTCATTTTCTCAACAGTTTCCCTTAGTGTTTGATACCGTACAGTTTGGGTTACATCCACTCAGCATTAAGATCCATATACCATTTCTGGTCTAGCTTAAAAACTATAAAACTAGTTAAGTATGTTCTACTTTTTTAAACCCCAAAACTACCGATATTTCTGAAATATTATGTGACCTCAGTTGCTCTCAATCACGTTCTCAACAGTCCAGATCAAGTTTTCGTCGATGGTCTTCTTCCGTCCCCTCCCGGACTGCCTTTTTACTGTCTTATCGTGATGTCGGGAATACCGCTGTTTACTACATGTTTCAATATGCATGGTTTGGGTCTATGTTGGCGTTCTCTCGAGCATTACACTTAATTTAATAAAAGTGCGCTTCTCCGTCAAATCACGCGACGTCATTTTTCCAGTTGTTTTTATAGGGATCACAACGGAGAAAAATCTCAATTGTTTATGTTAGTACTTCAAATATTACTTCAGAAATCTAAACACATAAAAATAGACCGATAAAATGAAAATTTAGAGAAAACATTTGAATGTTATTGCGAATTATAGAAAATAGATACTTAGGTGAAATTTTGGAGTTCGCACGTTTGTTTTTCAGAATTTTTGTCCTGCTCCGTACATCACCATCAGAATTATCAAAACAGCAATAATTTTAGCACGTGAGACAGGATATTTTGATATTTTCACTCGTGCTTCGCACTCGTGAAAATATAAAAAAAATTCTGTCCCACTCGTGAAATAAATTCCATATTCATCTTCAAAACATTGAATATCCTCTATATATCCTATTTCAGTTACAAAGTTTTTCATGTGACATAATAGTACTGTTGTTTTTCCCCTACTTGGAAAATGTTAACATTACCCAACTGACCCATCTTTTTCTTGCTTATCTCTTCTTTCAATCATGTACTGATTAATATTATGTTTAGCTTCACATTTCGATAATGCTACAATTAAAGTTTCCCATTAAAGACAGAAACATAAAATTCGACTTCAAAAAGCAGTTATACTCTTAAAAATGGTTAGCAACTAGATCATAAAGCAGAATATGAAAATACTTTATTGTATATGTAAGAGGGATTTTTTTCTATATTCTGTTATTTGTTATATTAAAACAAGATGTGTTTGTGAAACACTTATGCCCCCTATGACAACTAATAACAAAGGTTAAACCTTCTCAAATGCAAATCAAATATGTTGGTACCCAAAGTAAGGTCTTGTGTAGAGGAATATACCTGTGAAATATGAAAATCTTAGCAGCAACCATTGAATAGAT